CCCCGCCTCAGCCGCTTATGTAAGGGGAGGGGGTTGTGTAACCGGCGCCCCCGCCCAGCCGCGGTGGGAGGCGGCGCACATGCCCCCAGCCGCGGTCCCCCGCTGCACAGGGTCTCTCTGGCGGCCGCTTGAGGGAGGGCAGCCCCCGCTGCTGGGAGCCTGCTCGAGGCAGGGAGACAGAGCCCGGCAGCGAGCGCGCCGCTGCAGTGCGAGCCCTTGTGCGTGGATGCAAAGGGCTCTTGGGTGCTCTGCGCCGTCCCTGGGCGGATTTCAGCCCCGTGGATGGGCTTGTTGAGCCGTGTCCGAGGGAAGCAGGCGTTAGCCCTCATATTTATTCATTGTTTTTAATTGTATCCTTTGGTATATCTGGTTGTGACTACTTTCTTCCACTATTTGATCTGAGGAAGTGGGTCTGGCCCACGAAAGCTCATCATCTAATAAACCATCTTGTTAGTCTTTAAAGTGCTACATTGTCCTGCATTTTGCTTCAGCTATCCCAGACTAACACGGCTACATCTCTATCACTATTCTGCCAGTGCAGGTACGATCCCGCCAGACCCGCTTTGTGAAAGGAGCAGCCCGAAATTCCCCGGGTGTTGATTGTCTGGCTGAAGCCGGCCCACAGACGCTCAGTTTAATATGTGTAACGTGAAGCCTTTCCCTCTTAACTAACAGCCCTGTCAACTCAAATTGGGATCTGAAACTCATGCTGGGTTTCTTTATGGCGGGTGAAAGAAACAGTGAAAGATAATGCGTCCAGAACTTGGTTACAAGCAGCTGACGATGCATGAGACAACCAACTCTTTGGGCAAGGCTAAAGGAGACAACATTTATTTTAGACATACTGCATGCAGAAATTACTCTGAGGAACAGGGTGCGAATGGGAAAAAGTAAGACAGTGCATTTTCATAGTGATTTTTGGAAGTACAGCTTCACAATAGAAGGTGTGTTTGCCTATTTCCCCAAGACAGATTCCTAACCAACAGCCTTTTTGCTTGTGGCTGTACCTCTTTACTTGACAGCCACAGCAATAATATTTCTGATCTGTCTTCAGCTCTGTTAACTTCTTACAAGTTTTGCACCTTTCACATTTTCAGCAAAGTCATCTTGACTTACTCATGCTGCTCAGTATTCATATCCTCACTGACTGAGCTGCTAGTGTCCTAAAGCTTATCTTGGTATCCTTTAAAAGTCTCATCAATCCCTTTCCTGGGATTTTTACTTTTGTTACTGTAATAGGACATTAGTGTGGGATTGAACAGCATTGCTCCTGTTTTGTTGATGAGAGAAGACTCGATGCTCTATTCACAACCTCCTCCTACATCTCTGCTAGGTAGATGATGGAGCATTTTGTTCCACTATATTAGTGCATCTTGACAAGGACCAGTTAGATCTTGGGAGGCTGATGGCAGTGAAATCAACACAACCATTACAATTGAGCCATTTCTCAGAGTTATCTGCTGGCGCCTGGAATCCTGAGCTGGAGTGGCAAGAACTTTTGGTGATTCTGCCTCCTGATCCTAACTTTGGTTCTTAGCAAAGGGGCCCATTCTAACAGCTCTCAGCTCTCATTACTCTTCTGGAAAGGAGGCAGGCACATCACTGATTTCTCTGAATGTCTTCTAGTTGCTCTGAGATGGCTTATCCACCTCATCTGCAAGTCTGTCTAGATTGATTTAGTTTTTGCCACCAATACTGACACTCATGACAGTAATGAATAGTAGCTAGTCTGTTAATTAAGGTGGAAAGGTGTTAACACGACCCTGTGACTATCCAACTTTGAACAGTTTAAAAAACGTTTCGTGTACAGAGACCTCGGCCTGCTTAGTACCACAGAAAACGCATGATTACAATGTTTAAACTTTTTATTAAAAACACAAGAAGGGAACAATTCAAGTATTTCAAACGTTAATTATTTAAATAAAATTTCAGTTTGACAATATGTATTGTTCCCTTTATCCGGAGAGAGATTTTAGTTGATGCTTCCACTTCCCCCAATCTGAAAGATTTTTAGATTATAATAAAGATGGTAATGACCCTCTTTTTTGGGGAAAGAGAACAAGTTATTTGATGTGGACTGGAGCTCTTGTTGTTGAAGTTTGATCCCCTTTCCTAAAAGACAAACAAAGACAAACACATACAAAGCGGGAGAGAAATTATCAGCAAAGGTAAAAAATAAAGCTTCTGTATCTAGTGTTGAGCTGCAATTTGCAGCCTTACTGCTGAAGAAACACGTTCTAATTTTCTACTCTGAGACCTGACAAATTTGTACCCATGTCAGGCTGCTACAGGCATTGCTTTTAGATGCCTGTCTCATCACTGGCTTACATCAGTGTTGCAAAATATACAGTCTTGGCTGGTGAAGATGGACTTTTACAAGACAAGGAAAAAGGAGAGAGGAAAGAGAAGAAATAAGACAGGGAAGAAAAGGGACATGCAAGGGTTGTGTGTATATGAGAGAAGTCTCTCATCTCAAGTGGTAGTTGGGATTTAGCTAAAGCAGATGGAGGAGGCATCTTGCTCCCTTGGTCTGGTCAGAGTATCAGGATCAACAGTGAAGGCCAAATATTGTTACAGTAGATCGCAGGGTCTCAGAAGATGGTGGGGTAGCAGTTGTGATTCTAAAGCTCAGTGCTGCAGTTTTTGATGAACAGCTTCTCCTGCTATTTTTCTCCCCAAAAGTATTTTCTTTTAGAACCCCAAAAAGATCGATAAGTGGAATAATCCATCCCTTTGTTATTTTGTCTCCGAGGGCAGAAGTTCCCAACCACTGGTCGGTGGCCGGTCTTGCTGCCAGGCCTCTGGGAGCTGGGGTTGGGGTCTCGCCAAAGCTGTTAGGAGAGGTGTGTCCTGCCATGCCTTTCAGCCAACCAGCGCCAGGCAGCAGTGGGGTCTCTTCTTGGCTGCAGAAGAGCACTTTGCTGCGTAGCAGGAGGGCTGAGTAGAGCCTAGCATCGCAGCCTTAGAGCAGCCGCAACCCAGGCAACAGCACTCAGCTGGCAGCTGGGAGGCAGGGCAGGGCCAGGTGAGGGGGGCGGGACAGTCACTGGGGGCTCTGAGGATGCAGCTAGTGCTGGAGGACTCTTAAGAGGTGGGAGACTGGCACAGGGGGCTTGGAGCAGGGCTAGTACTGGGGAGCTCTGAGGAGTGGGGGGCTGACACTGGGGGTCACTAGGTCATCCTGGGGGAGCTGGCATTGGGGGGGCTAATATTAGGGACTGGGGGCTGGCACTGGGGAGGCTCTGGGGGTTGGGTGCAGTGGTTGCTCTGAAAACAAGAGGCTGGCATGGGGGCCGGAGGGTCTGGTGATGGGGAGTGCTAAGGGGCATAGGGCTGGCACTGAGGCGTTTGGGATGTGGGGCTGGCAGTGGAGGGCTCTGAAGGCAGGAGGCTGGCATGGCGGGGTGGGGTGCAGGAGACTCGGATCAGTGACTGTTGCTGGGGGATAGTGGAAGGGTGGGGGCTCTAGGAGTTAGGGCTGGCACTGGGGGGCTCTGGGAGAATATTTTATAAATGTTTATCTATTCTCCCACATTTAGGCTAACAAGTGGAGTACATTTTTAGGCACAATTATAACAGTGTATCCCAGTCTTTGAATTTGCTGCTGTGATGTCTAACTGGAATGCTGCAGTTCTTTTCTCAATTTTACTTGCTGAGTACTTTCCAAGAGTGCCTTTCACTAAGTCAATCTTCCAAAGTCCTTTAATTAGTAACATAATCAACATTCTCCTAATTTATTCTCCTTAGATGGTAATACCTATTTCATTAAGACACCCTATTGTCAGAGAACAAAATTATTTTTCTGCAATTTAAACTGACTGCCTTGTATTCCTCCTTGTTCTCCTGTGCTCGACGTGGACTGCTAGTAATGTCTGAACACACTTGCCCTTTTCTCTCACTTTTGGTACTATGTTCTTCTCTCCCCAGTGGTGCAGGGAAGAAATGTCACCTTCTTAAATAACTCTTGGCAGCTATATTCACAAATGAGATTAATGCCATTCTTAGGCACCCTGCCATCGAGCGGCATTCTCAGAACTGGGTCCCTAAGCTCCCACCCTCATTCATTATATGGGAAGAGTTAGGCACCCAAGAAAGGGATTCTTAAAAGTAAGCAAGCTGAACAGAATGCTTAAGCAAGCCAGCAGAGGCATGCAGAAGAAAAAGGCGGGTTTAGGTCTGAGACCCACAGATGGCACTTAAGTGACAGATTAGAGGGAAACTATCTCCAATCAGGATTCACAGCCATGATTTTTCTCCTGGAGATGGGTGTCTAAGCCAAGGAACCCTTTATGGAAAAACCCCCCCACAGAAGGCGAGATCCCCATCCATGCATCCATTTATAGCCCAGTGGTTAGAGCCCCCACTTGTGCTATGGGAGACTTGCTTTCCAATTCTT